GGGGAAAGTGGTAAAATCCTTCTGGGTAGAGAGGTGGCAGATCAATCATGTTTCCTAATCTTTCCTTAAATCCCAGGTCATCTCCTCCCCTGCACCCATTAGAGTTTTTCATCGCCTTTCCTGTCACTGATCATCTTCCTACTCAGAACCCTTCCCACTTGATGTGACCTTTCTCAGAAGTGAAGGTGGAATTCTCATACATCATCAACACATTCTTATTGAAGAAAAGGATCTAATTACCTGTTCAGTATCAACACGCAATTCCACATCCTCCTTGCACTGATATATGAGAGGATAGCTACCTCCCTCCCTCCCTACAGATCTATTTATCTATTGAAGTTGATAGAGAGGTAGTGCAGAAAATGGTGGCTAGGCTGCTAGTGGGGACCAACTTTTGTCCCCATATTATACATTGACTTCAGGAGCTGCGCCAGCTGCCAATCTGCTACAGAGCCAAGCTCAAGGTGTTGGTACTAACATATAAGGCCCTCTAAAATATCCAGTAGATTATTGCAATCTGCAGGGAAGTCTCTGCTTAAAGTCCCAAAAATATCAGAAGCCTACTCTATGTGGCTGCCTCTGTTCTGGGAAACAGCATCCCTGTTGAGAGACACAACAAAGGCCCACTTTATGTACGTTCCAGGAACAACTGAAGACATTTTAGTTTCCACAAGTTTTTTCAGCTGGGTGAAGAGGTCTCTGCCTTAGGTGTTTGTTCTGTTTTTTAACAATACTTTTCGTTGGTTTTATGTAAATTGCCTTCAGACTCATCCAGAAGCTGACGCATAAAGTAAATAAATAAATGTGTAGTCAAGCAACATCTGGGGGGCTAGAAGTTCCACATCTCTGGATCAGCTGTGCCTCAACCTGATCTAGCAAGGCAACGCTTACAGTATGACCTTATGCCACATTCCATACAAGTAGCTGTCCTCTTCCAAATCGTGGAGTAGAACAAATGAGTGAAGGAATGTGGAGAGAAGGATGTAGGTACACAGGAAGTGACCACGCATCAAGCCAAGCCGTTAGTCCTTCTAGCTCAGTATTGTCTACTTTAGAGTAAAACAACATGCAGCCCTTCAGATATTGCTGAACTGAAATTCCTACCATTCCCAACCATTTACCTTGATGAGTGGGACTGATGGGAGTTGGAGTGCAACAAAATATTGAGGGCAAAGGGCTCACCACTCCTACTCTCCAATGAATGGCAGCTCTTCTCCAGGATTCAAGGCAGGAGTCTTTTCCAGCCCTACATGGACATCCTGGGAATTACGTCTGGGATCTTCTGCATGCAAAGTCCAACCACTAAGCTACGGCCCAAATGCCCCCCCCCCATCAGAAACTCCAAGACCATGATGATCAGAGCTGGTGATCTGGAGGATTTGAAGCAAAGCAGACAGAGGAACCTGTGAGATAGGTGAGCTGGTGTGTAGTTAAAACAGTGACATAGCACGGGTTGCCAGTGCCCAGGGAATGGAAAATATCACACCCACTAAGACATGTATTGTGCCCCCTAATCAGAGCCTCCATACAACACTGCTGCTGCTACCAGACAAAGATGCAGAGCAGTGGTGGGACATTTGCACACGCCTCCTCAGATTGGGGTGATGCCCAGTCTGCCCACCTCCTCTGCCGGGGGATGCACAGCCAAGGGACGCAAGGGCTCATCCTCTCCCAGCTCCTGCTCAGGTTGCTGTTCGGGGGAGGCAGGCGGGAGGGACAGGGTCTCCAGTTGGGGCAGCAGCTGCAGAACCATGCCCCTAATTTTTTTTGCACCCAGGGCTATCAGCCTGGTAGTTCCCCGCCCCCCTGCCCCCCCATGCTATGCCTCTGAGTAATGAGTAGGAATATAATATCAGGGAGGCAAAACTTTGAGAGTGCATCCCTCACCTGGGAAGGGAAGTTGTGCACACAGAGGATTCCAGACTAGAACGTGAGGCTTTCTAGGTTCCACTGGGATCCCTTTGGCCCCCCCTCTGTATGCTGACCTCTGCTACTGTAACAATTCTGCAGTGCCATCTTCTGGCTCAGGCTACAACTACAACAACAGTAATATTTCTAAAGCACTTTTTTAAAAAAAGGCATTGTAGAGTACAAATTGCAAAATTAAGAGCAATAAAACCTCTCCAGCAAGCTTTACAGTAGGGAGTGATATCAAGCCCACAGGCCAAATGCAGCCCCCCAGACTTCTCTATCTGACCTTTGGGATTCTCCCCAGGCCACACACTCCTCTCAAACTTCACCCCTCACTCCTCTGCACTGTCCTGGTGCATTTTTTCCTGGCTGGGATGCATCCTTGAACACATCTGATCATGCCTCTTTCTTGCCTGGATGGAGCTCAGAAAGGGGTATGTGAATGTGTGCAGGCACTAGCCTGCTGTACAAAGGTATGTTTACATCTATTGCTCTGCCCTCTTTTGCCTCTGCCCTCTCTCATCACAGTCATGTGCCCCACAGGTGGTTGACCAGAGGGGAACAAAGCCCTTTATCTGGAAAAGGTTCCCCATTCATGAGCTAAGTTTTCAAGACAGTTAATGACTTGCCGTGATGGAGCAAGGAGAGATCTGACTTGGCCTTAACATGTCCATATTTCCTTTTCCAATCCCACACTTGGGAGTAAGTCCCATTGAATTCAATAGGACTTACCATATTTTTCTGTCTATAAGATGCCCCCATGTATAAGACGCCCCCTTTTTTGGAGGACTCAGATTTAAGAAAAAGGGGGGAGATGGCCCAGAGTATAAGATGCCCCCTAATTTTTGACATATTTTTAAGGAAAAGAACCTAGTCTTATACACGAAAAAATATGGTGCTTCTATCAAGACTATCCAATGTAGAACTAAGTTAGAGTCACTAAGCTCTAATTCTTGTTCAGCTGGTGAGAAGTTTTGTGCCAGGAAAACTTTGTGAAAGAGAACTCACAAGCAGGTTGCTGGTAGCTTTGTTGCACAACAGACTGCGCAGTCTCTCGAGCAGTGAGCTTCTGTTATTGCAATGAGTGCATTGGATTCCTCTTTTGTGCAACATTAAAACTCAGCCATCCACAATCACCCAAACCATTGCAATAGCAGACAGATAATGTTGGGTGCAGCCCAGTCAGAACTGCACTGCTAATCTAGTTAGCTGTGTCCCAAAGTCATATGCTTTCACCTTTTCCCTTTTATATTGCATTTAAGATTTTCAGAGGAAATTAATGAAGTATCCCTTTGACATTTTCTTGCAACTAGAAGTACCACTCCCTTGGCCTGAAAACAAATACAGCAAGTGGAACATTAGCAACTATTCAATTATATAGAAAAGATCTGGATGTTTGGCACCAGCTGCAGTCCTGCAGGCTGCAACATTTTATTTTTTAAAAAAATAAAAAGTCCAAAGTATGTGTGTGTGTGGCAGGAGGGGGGAACTATCATCATGACAGGACACTCTGGAAATCAACACCAATTTCTCTCCTTAAAAGGGAATTTTTTATTTGTTATCTCCACTCTGTGCTTTTCTCCTTAGTCCCCAGACTCCCACTACAAACTCCCTTCATCTCTTAAGTTTACTTCATTGTGTTTGGTGGTGGCGCTAGTGGAGGAAAATGGAATTTATAAAATAAAGTTTTCTGTCAAATGGAAATTTCTTTCAGAACTCCGGCCTTTTTTTCCTCGTGGAAATGACAAAGGAAAGCCATACAGAGCACAAAAGTTGGTGGAAAACTTTTGGAAGGAAGCAGTTAAAAGTGCAGGAAACAACTCTTCGGTTGCCTGTAAAATTATAAAGAAGTATTTCCCTTATTATTACAATATCCCAGGGAAGAAAAACAGAGGAGGGGGACTGTATTGTGATAAGAACCACAGAATAGCAATGATGGCAAATAAGTATGAATTATTGAAAGAGGGGGGGAAATAAGAGTTTGGTCCATCTATCTTGAAGTTTTGTCTCCTCATTATGAAGAGTTTTTCATTTGCTCTGAAGAATTCAGGTACAATTTCATCAGTAAAGGATGTAGGCATTGTAACCTTTAGAGAAGATTAATAGGCTGTGTACCACAGAGGCTGGCCCAGAAGCTTCATTTCCTAGAAAAGACAGCGTCCCTTCTGCTGATAGGAGGGCCAGCTCTAGAGGGCAGTATGATGGCAAATATCCCTAGATTAGTGATGCAAGAAGGCCGTTTATTTCTATTCTACCCTGTCTTTGTTACATGCAGTGCTGTTTCAGTTTGGCTGCAGTTTGGCTTCCAGCAACAAGGGCATTATTTGTCTTGCTGTCTACTGTGGTGGATTTTAAGGGAATTAATTACCATTACCTTATTCCATACTATGTAAAGGAAGCGCAAAGGAATTGTGGAAAATGTCATTACACTCAGAAGTTTTATCTCAGCACAAACAATATGTACAGTCGTACCTTGGTTCTTGAATGGAATCCATTCCGGAAGTCCATTTGACTTCCAAAACTGTTCAAAAACCAAGGTGCAGTTTCTGACTGGCTGCAGGAGCTTCCTGCACTCAATCAGAGACCTCAGGAAGCTGTGTCGGAAGTTTGGCTTCCAAAAAATGTTCGCAAAATGGAACACTCACTTCCGGGTTTGCGGCATTCAGGAGCCAAAATGTTTGAGTCACAAGGCTTTTGAGAACTGCTAAGGGGCTGCATCCAATGCTAGCCCTACTCAGAGTAGACAAAATCCTGCATGGACTCAGTGGCGTAGCGTGGGTTGTCAGCACCCGGGGCAAGGCAAGTAATTTGCGCCCCCTAACCCGTGGATTTGCGCCCCCTAATCCATGGATTTCCCCCCCCTAACCCTAACCCCCAGAAGTTGCGCCCAGTGCGGCCGGCCCCCCCTGCACCCCCCACGCTACGCCACTGCATAGACTAAATTGAGGGGGAGTGCAGAGAAAGGCACAGAAAGGCAACACATCCAAGCCATTTGGAATGAAACTGCAAGAGCTTTATAGTTAATATTATCTGCACTGACTGGCAGAAGCACTTCAGGGTTTCAGGCAGGGAACATTCCCAGTCCTACCTGGAGATGCCAGGAGTTGAACCTGGGATCTCCTGCAAGCCCGAGCTAGTGCTCTATCACTGAGCTACAGCTCTTCGCTTAATATACAAAAGCACTTGCCTTATAGCAAGTATATTCCCCCACCTAGCTCATTATTGGCTATACTGTCTGGCAGTGGTTCCCCAGCATTCCAGACAGAGTTCTCTCCTAGCTCTGGCTGGAGATACTGGAGATTGAACTCGCATGCAAAACATAGTCCCTTCTGTTTCAGGGAGAGGGGGAAAGAAGAGGGGGGAAACTGAGAGTTGCAGTTACTTGGGAAGCAGGGCCAGCCTTCCCATGAGGTGCAGTGAGGCAGTTGCCTCAGGTGGCAGACTGGGGACAGCTGGGAGGGGCAGCAGATCTGGGCCTCGCAGAGCGCACTGCTTTCCACCTACTGCATTTGATGCCCGCCTCCTCTTCTGATGCCCTTCCTGCCACTACATCCTCCTCACTTCCTCCTTTTTTCTTCCCCACCACCTTCAGTGCACTGGGGCTTCCCCAGGTCACCTCCAGTGGTGAAGGAGGAGGCCACCATTTTCAGCTTTGCCTCAAGCGGCAAAACATGCTGAGCTGGGCCTCTTGGCCAGATAATTGTGGTCACATTGCCTTAAGAAACGTATTTAGGGAAGCCAAGGAACCAAATGTCCTTCCTGGAAGGCTGGAGCTATGCTTGAACCTAGGAAGATACTCTTTAAGTGTCTGAGCATTTATCCTGAAGCCTCAAGGGGCATCAGAGCCTAGTTCGGAAGACCCTGATTTTGAATCTCCCTAGCTCTTGTAACACAATACCATTCATGTGTATTTATGAAGGAGTTATACTGCTTCCTCATCCCCTTTGAGTATTCAATGTTTGCTTCAAGTGAATATCAATACTAAGGCTGTTTTGATATTTGTGAACGCGGAGAAAGCCTTTGACAATATCTCCTGGAGTTTTATGAAGAAGAATCTACAGGGGATGGGGGTAGGTCAAGGTTTTGAAAATGGTATAGGTGCAATTTATTCAGAACAAAAGGCAAAATTAATTGTGAACAATGTAGTGACAGAAGAGTTTAAGATTGAGAAAGGGACACGACAAGGTTGCCCAATTTCTCCATTGCTCTTTATATCGGTCCTTGAGGTTTTGTTAAACATGATAAGAAAGGACCAAGAGGTCAAAGGTATACAAGTGGGGGCTAAACAGTATAAACTGAAAGCATTTGCTGATGATTTAGTATTGACCTTACAGGAGCCAGAATCCAGTACAAAAAGGGTATTGGAACTGATTCAAGAATTTGGACAAGTAGCAGGTTTTAAGCTGAATAAGACGAAAACTAAAGTCTTAGAGAAAAATTTAACTGTGAATGAGAGAGAGAAGTTTCAGGAAGAGACAGGACTAACACTGGTTAAGAAAGTGAAATATTTAGGGGTTAACATGACTGCTAAAAATGTGAATTTATTTAAGGATAATTATGAAAAATGTTGGATTGAAGTGAAAAAGGATTTAGAAATATGGTCAAAATTGAAGTTATCATTGTTAGGCCGAATTGCTGTGATAAAAATGAATGTGCTGCCAAGGATGTTGTTTTTGTTTCAAACATTACAAATTTTGGATAAGATGGATTGTTTCAAGAAGTGGCAGAAAGATATTTCCAGATTTGTTTGGCAGGGCAAGAAGCCTCGAATAAAATTTAAGATATTAACTGATGCTAAAGAAAGAGGTGGATTTGCCCTGCCAGACTTCAAACTTTATTATGAATCAGCGGCTTTTTGATGGCTGAGAGAATGGCTGCTTCTTGAAAATATTGACGTGTTGGATTTAGAAGGTTTCAATAATGCATTTGGTTGGCATGCATATTTGTGGTACGATAAGGTAAAAGTACATAAAGCGTTTAAAAATCATATTGTTAGAAAAGCATTGTTTAATGTTTGGATAAGATATAAGGATTTGTTAGAAAAGAAAACCGCAAGATGGTTGTCACCAATGGAAGCTAAGGCACAGAAAAAACTCAATATGGAGGCCAAATGGCCGAAATATTGGGAAATTCTGGAACAAGATGGAGACAGATTAAAATTGCAGAGCTTTGAAAAATTGAAAAACAAAGTGCAAGATTGGCTCCATTATTATCAAATAATGGAGGCATACAATTTGGACAAAAAAGTTGGTTTCCAGGTGGAAAAATCAAAATTGGAAACAGAATTGTTAGATTCAAAAATTAAGAATCTGTCAAAAATGTATAACTTGCTGTTGAAATGGAACACTCAGGATGAAATGGTGAAATCAGCTATGATTAAATGGACACAAGATGTTGGACATAACATAATGATGGCTGACTGGGAACAGTTATGGACCACAGGTATGAAATTTACGGCATGTAATGCCCTAAGAGAAAACTTAATGAAAATGATTTATAGGTGGTACATGACACCAGTCAAGCTTGCAAAAATTTATCATTTGCCCGACAATAAATGTTGGAAATGTAACGAGATTGAAGGCACATTCTTTCACCTTTGGTGGACATGCCCAAGGATTAAGACATTCTGGGAGATGATTTACAATGAAATGAAAAAGGTATTTAAATATACTTTTCTGAAGAAACCAGAGGCCTTTCTCCTGGGCATGGTCGGCCAATTGGTGTCAAAGAAGGATAGAACTTTCTTTATGTATGCAACAACAGCAGCAAAATATTGGAAGACACAAGATTTACCCACCCGGGAAGAATGGCAGATGAAGTTGATAGACTATAAGGAACTGGCGGAAATGACTGGCAGAATCCGAGACCAGGGAGAAGAGTCGGTGGAAGATTGGAAAAAATTTACAGATTATTTAAAGAAATACTGTAAAATTAATGAATGTTAGAAAAATGTTGGAATGAAGTTATATGGCTTTAGTAGAAATGTTATAAGGAATTAAGTATAGATAGATTAATAGAGCATTAAAGGAAAAAATAAGGTTAGAATGAGTTAAGATAATTATAGGATAGAAAACAGAGGAAGATGGAAAGGAATTGCTGAAATAATTAACAGAAGTGGAATACAAAAAGGGAGGTGTGAGGAGGTCGTGCAAATAAGTGAATGAAAGATGGGACAATGAAATTGTTTGATTTATTTTATTGTTTTTGTTTTGTTAGTTTAATGTATTGTATTGTCTTTTTAGTGTTTAAGTTTTTGGAAAAGTAATAAATATTATTTTTAAAAAAAGAGTATTCAATGTAAAGAAGTCGGAGAATAAGTTTGGAAGGTATTCTCTCGACGTGATGCTGTAAACTTCAGTTACATCCCCTGCTCTGCGTTTAAAAGGTAATGTTCCCTGAGCAATGCAAAGTAATTATAGCTCCCTACTGTCATGGTCTATTGTATTATTATTATTTTTCGTCATGTGCTGTAACTCATCAGCCTCCACCATTCCAGCTGCAAAATGCCAAATTGTACCAGCATCCAGGACGTCTCTTCTGAGCTTGGAAAAGAACATAAAAGCCAGCCTTTAAAAAAGAAAGAAAGACTCATTTTAAATCTCCCTTTACTGTGTAATATAAATCATCACTTTCTAGTCCCGTGTTGAAACTGGATTCCTCTTTACAAAAAGGGCACAGTAATATGTAGTAATCTTTTAACTCACATCCAAAGATTAATAACTCTGTCCATGGTGCTGCAGAGAAGAAGACGCTGAATCCCGGATGATTGGATGAGCAAAATTCTGGTACAGTCTCTGCAGAACAGATGCAGAGAGAAGACAAACGAGGTACTTTCAAAGCATGAAGCCTCTCTGAAGGTTATTGCATGAGGAATTTTCACTCGTCTTACTTGAGGTCAGGAAGGATTTCCTCCATATAATGTGACTCACCCCACACGCACACCCTTGACATTAGACGCAAGGGTAAGAGATTTCAGGTGGTGCTGAATATCCTGTTTTCAGTCTTACTGTCCTGACAGCTCTGTGTTGGTGTAAGCATCAGGGAAGCTGCTCAAACCCTTTAAGTATGTGCTTCATTGAAAACTACTGTCCTCCAACTTCTTAGAAGTTTTCTGCCCTTAGCACACAGGTTTCTGTTTTTCTGTCTCATTTTCAGGGTCCCTGCTGCTGTACTTCCAACAGGTCAAAAGTTCCCCACACCTGATTTATGTCATAGGCCATGCAGTAGCAGTGGGGAAAGGAGATGCCAGAGAAATGTTAAGCAGTGGGGAGGAAGCTAAGTGTTGTCTACGCTGGCCAACAGCACCTCCGCATGTTTTCCAATGGGACATTCTCAACCCAAACTAGAAATGTCTGGGACTGAACTTGGGACCTACCGCATGCAAAGCTCTACCACAGAGTTACATCCCTCCCTCTATTGATAGTGTCATTAAGAGGTAACATGAGCAACAGCCTCAAGCAGCACATCTTTAAATGGCTCATAAATCTGTTGGGTTATTGAGTTGTTTCACACAGAATTACAGTCCCTGTGCAATTAGCAGAATCAACATTCCTGGCGTCACTCAGGATGATTCGCCAAATGTTAACAACCATAGCAACATGCGCTACGGATTAGCTTTTGCAAGGAAACAAGGTTCAACATTCTGCTGGAGTGGTGCTTGGAATCTCGTTTAGGAACAAAGCGAGTCATATTTCAACACTGAATTGGAAACACTGAACCATAACATTTGGGGAATTAACGCTGGAGCTGTGGGAGGGAAGGGAGTCGGAAACCAGAACGGCGCTTTTTGTTCTGATACTGTCAAAACACTCTCAGCTTATGGAATATGTTCTTCTTCCCATCTTGCAAAACTGTTAGATTCTTCACTCCCCCCCCAAAAAAAAAAATTCCTTCCATGTCGCTTTCAATCTCTTTCATGAGCCTCTGCACAGTGTTTAGAGATGGAAGTGAATACTGTTGTTCTTGCACTTCCTGGTATATTCGCTTCTCATTTAGTTCCAAGTCTTAATTATCTCAGTGGATGTTAGTGCTGAAGCTTGCAGCCATTTGCTGAATTAGCACATTGCAGTTTTTGCAACTCAAACATTTAACTGTCTGATTGAGAGAATCTGCTTATTGGCTCATTCACTTTATGAGAAAATGAAGGGTGCATAGATACTTTTGCAGCAGACTAAAAGCAGATATTTGCATGGGTGTAGCAAGGATTTTTGTGGGGGGGGCAGAACCACATATTTGAATGAATTTTTATTGATTTTTATTGATTGGGGGAGAGCTACCTCTCAGCCCCACCTTGGCCCCGCCCTACCTTGGAAGTTTGGTGCACATTTGAGCTGTAGTCCTCTGCAAAACTCACTTGAAAGATCTGTGGCTCCATGATAGAGCATCTGTTTTGCATGCAGAAGGTCCTGGGTTCAAACCCTGACATCTCCATGTACAGCTAGGAAAGAACCCTGCCTATATTGAATCCCATGAGGGCATGGTCACTTCCTTCCAAGGTTCCCACTACTTCCACCTCATTGACCCATTCTTCTGTTGGTGAGGATCAGGCCCAAAATATTTGATCCCCTTGTTGCTTCATATCACCACCCCACATGCTATAACAACCCACAGGCTTCTGCAGGGGGAAGAAGCAAGGTGTTTCAGTGGCAACCAAGAAAGTATTTACACCTGCTGAATTTGCGAGTTTTGTACTTGCAAATGTGTTTGTATCTTCCCTCTCTTACCCCAAAACTAGAGAAGGTGCAGCTATTTGGGAAAGCAGGCCAGTGGAATTTATAACAGCAACCAGTATTTAAGATAAAGGTAAAGGGACCCCTGACCGTTAAGTCCAGTCGCAGACAACTCTGGGGTTGCGGCGCTCATCTTGCTTTACTGGCTGAGGGAGCCGCCGTTTGTCCGTAGACAGCTTCCGGGTCATGTGGCCAGCACAACTAAGCCGCTTCTGGCGAAACCAGAGCAGTGCATGGAAACGCCATTTACCTTCCCGCCAGAGCAGTACCTATTTATCTACTTGCACTTTGACGTGCTTTCGAATTGCTAGGTTGGCAGGAGCAGGGACCGAACAATGGGAGCTCACCCCGTCGCGGGGATTCAAACCGCCGACCTTCTGATCGGCAAGCCCTAGGCTCTGTGGTTAAGACCACAGCGCCACCTGTGTCCCTAAACAGTATTTACTAATGTTTATATAAAGAGAGAGATCATTTGTTTTTGTTTTTTAAATAATATTTATTGATAGTTTCAAAATTACAGAAAAAAATAAATAAATAAAAAACAACACTACAGTACATAGAAAAGAAGAAAAAAAGCAAAACATAAAAGCCAATACAACAATACAGCAAAAAGATAAAAAAGAAGGGAAAAAAGACACAAATCCCATATTACATATCTTTAACTTCCATTTGCTTGTTTCATTGACCTCCTCACACCTCCCTTTTTGTATTCTAGTTTAATTAGTTATTTCAAGCAAATTCTTTCCATCTTTCTCAATTTTTATTAAATGATTTATCTTAACAATTTAACCTATTAATTAACTCAACAAATCCTTTCCATCTTTTCCCCATATTCTGTTATTCAAATTACCTTAATTTATTTAACCTTATCTTACCGTAAAATACCTTAGAGCTTGAAACTTAATACTCAATTATACATAACTCCTGATATCATTTCTACTAGAGCCATATAGTTTCATTCCAACCTTTTCCCTAATATTCATTAATTTTAGGCTAATTCCCTAGATAAAAATTTTTCTTTATAAATTTTCTTCCAATCTTCATCCAACGTCTCTTCTTCCTGGTCTCGGGTCATGTCAGTCCTTACTGTCCATTCCATCTAGTCTATCAACCTGGTAGTCTTATGTCCGAGGCCCTTAAGTCTCTTCCATGTCCCTTCTGCAGATCTTCTTCTTGTTGTTTATACCTGCACTTTTCCTTGTCTTTTGTTGGTCTCTTTCTTAATTTCTTTCCTTTCTCATTGAGGAGTAGGTCTCTGGGAGGTTCCAACCCAAAATTATCTCCGTCTCCCTTCATCAAACCAGCCCATTCCCCACAGTCCCACTCCCCACAGTCATCAATGTAATCCAAAAAATATTTAAGATCATATTTCAAAGTCTCTCCAAAGTTAAGAACCTCCTCAGCTCCAGATTCCCACTGGCCCACTCCAACTTCAATCTTCAAAGACAGCGGCTTATGCTCCTGTAGGGCCTCGGGTCTCTCCATTTGTATTATTTGAGGTGCAACCGCAACCTCCTCCATTATCTTCTGCACTTGCCCAATCAATACAGGTTCCTGATTTGGTCCCTGAGTGGTTTCTGTATCAATATTCCCTGTTTGTCCACAGTTATTGACCACAACAGTCATCAAATCCATTTTCTCATTCATCAAATCCACCTTCTCATGCATCTGTTCCAACAAAGCACTTGTCTTGCATAAAGCAAGCACCAAAACTTCCTCCCAGCTCATATTTAGTCAAGGTCAAAGGAACTGGTCCCACGATCTTAATCTCACAGCTGTAGAGTCCTCAAGTAGACTGCAGCAACAATTTAGCAAGCTCCCTCTAGAGGAGACAATTTCTATTTGTATCCATCTTTTAAGGCAAGTCCAACAAAGGAAAATTACTTTCATTTTTCAGATATTTTGTTTCTTTAGAATGCAAAAGGCAACATTGGAATCAGTTTATTTCTCTTCTTTAGCTATCTGTCAAAGTATTCCATTCACAGTCAATAAACCTCTCCAACAATTTCTGTCTCTGACACCCCGTTCCCAGGTTAGAGACGGTGGAAACTTATCTTTCTTCACTCCCTCTCCTGCAGGCATTAAACAAAGTCCCCCCTTTTCTCCTGCTTCCAAGGGGTTCCAGTAGTTATAAATGAAGGAAATTTAGACTTTTTTAACGACTTTCCAGGCTTTAGCTTACAAGGTTTTTGCTTCAGTCTATGTACAAAAAGCGGAAGGCGGACTTCCTGTTTTGAACCTTCCCGCTTCAGTGCCAAATTAAGATATTTCTTGATCCAATTTTCCGTTTCTACTCACGGGTACTTGTTTTAAATCCAATTGTCCACAGGAAAACGTCAGCGCTCTCCGGCAATGGCTATGCGGCTTCACTCCGTGAAAGTAGCAATCAGTTCGCAGCACCGCGCCGCTCACCCCACTTCACTCCGGAACCCCGAAATGGGGTTCCCCGTGAGTAGGGGGGCGCTCCTGGTGCCCTGCCGCACCCCACGTTCCCAGGCTTCCTCCGCCTGGGATTTCTAGCGGGTCCCCACCTTCGCCGCGGCGGGAAGACCCAGTTTCCACGGAGCCAGTTCCTCCGGTCGGAGGAACTCCGCCATTCGCCGATGGCTCTAACCTGTGTCCCTAAACAGTATTTACTAATGTTTATATAAAGAGAGAGAGAGATCATTTGGATCATCATGGCTATTATCAGCATCCATATGAATGGAAGAGCTGGCTCAGGGACACAGTGAAGTCTGTGGAGGTTGGCCTGGCTGCAGAGTGGCACCCAGGAGCCTGATAATTATACAGAGTGGTTGACCAATGTCCTCCAGCCAGTGGAGGCTGGTCTATTAGGGCAGCAGGGGGCAGTGAATCACCCTGCTCAGTATGTCATCGGCCAGTCCGCATCTTCTAATCTCCTTACTTACAAACAGTCTAGGGCCACATTCACAACATACAATAAAGCAACAAATTATCACTTTGAACAGTCATGGATTATGGGACCTGTAGTTTGCTAAAGCTGCTGAGTGTTGTTAGCAGACTCCTATTCTCCCCGAGCAACTATTCCCAGTGCCCTACAAAGAGGTACTGATGGTTAAACCAATCTATAAGTGTAGCTCTGTGATGGGAATAGTGGTCTCCTAACAACTCTCAGCACCCTTAACAAACAACAATTTGTTGTTTGGCAATTTAAAGTAGTATCATAGTGCTTTAAATGTAGCCTAGGTGGTAGCACTGGTTGCCAGCTTTCTCCTCCTCCATAGTCTCATGGTTGTCTGGAGAGAACTCAGTAGCAAGAAGGACATGGACAAAACCAGAATTATTTCTCCCTATCTAACATTGGTTCTGGCACCACTGACTCTTGGGCTCCCCGACGTCTGTCATATCAGTCCCAATGGGCACCAGCCATTACTGCCTCTAACCAGCTACAGAACAGGAAGGCATGAAGGTGACCTGCTCTGGATAAAGACAATTTTAAACAATTATGTATGACCAATTTTTGTGGGGTTTCAATCAGAACTTAGCTGTTCTGAATGTCGTAAGACCCATGACTGACATTCCTAATTAAGGCTATTTGGTTTAGTGGTGGTTTTTTTACTTGTCCTCTGTCTGAAAGTCCTGAATTCCAACACGCACCTCAGCCAACGAATGCAGACATCAAAAGGGGTGCAACATCAATGTTCAACTTGAACAGAAATATATCAATACATTTCAGTGAAGAAAACGGCATTCCTATAAATAATGGATCATTGCAACCTGATCATCTTTATTCTCTGACACTAATAAGAAGATCCTCTTTCTTCTTCTGTGTCCTTGCTTTTGAATTTCAGCTCAGCAGTGGCTCAAGTACAGCTCTCAATTCCCTTTTTTGTCTCCCCCCAAACCCCTTTATCGTACTTTGAGATTAAACATGAAAGACAACTTATGTGATGAGAACTTTAAAGAGTATTGTGTGGATGTCACAAACTGTCAGCAGTGAGTATTTCTAGTAAACATAGAGAGTTTCCTCATCAATGCATGAGTCTAGAGACAGGCAGCTTGATCCAGTAATGACTAGCTGATTGATCGTGGTATAATTTTTAACTGTGTGACCAAAGGTAACAAGACTAGTTCATTATGGCACACTATTATTATTATTTTTTGTACTTTGATGCTAGTAAATTTTGTTGTCCACCGGTGGTGTGAGGGAGGATTCAAAGATGGAGGTGGTGTTGCAGGAGGAAAGAAGAGTTGTCATTTGGGGGACAACAGACTTCTTCACTCCATATTTCAAAGCATGGTGATTACAACCCTTTGAAAGTGAAGCTTGGTATCCTCCAGAATATTGATGAATTACAACAATAGGGGAAAAGCTGTAGCTCAGTGGTGGAGCAACTGCTTCACATACAGATGGTCTAAGGCTCAATCGCCAACATCTCCAGGTAGTGCTGGAAGGGACTAATTTCTGAAACCCTGTGGAGATCCAGTCCATGTGGACAATACTGAGCTAGATGGACCAAAGTTTTGACTAGGTATAAAGTATCTTCCTATGTTCCTACCAGCCCCACACAATGTAGCCAGTGGTTAGGAATGATTGGAGCTGTAGCCCAACTACTTCTGGAGATCACTAATGGTAATCCAAAGTGGTAATGAAATGTTTGCCACCTTTGTACATGCTGGGGAAACAGGGAGTGATAAGGATCTCCTCCACACCTCTCAGTATGGCAGTATAGTTTATAA